ATTTAAAAACTTACAACATAAGGAATCGGGAACCAGAACCTTTATTACAGCAATCATCACCATAACCATCTGGACGTTTTCCGCATATGCCACACAATAATGCTGCCACTAAACAAACTAAAACCTAAATAACATAATCAAAATCAATTACACATACAATTTCGAGCAAAATTTTACAAAAAGAAAAACTTACTAATAATAAAACTGAGCATACAGCAATGCCCACATAGAAACGATATGGACCATATTCGGTACGATAATTATCAGCAATATTGGTATATTTATGGGTATTTGTACCAATAATTTTTGAAACCTTTTGCAAATTTGTTTTAATATCATTTGAAGCTTTAAGCAAACCTTCACCTGTAAATTTTGAAGTACAAGAAAATAATTACAAATATATTTCTAAAGAAGTAGAGATAATTCTACTTGATGTAACAGTGAGAATGTACGAACAAACTTACCGGCTTTCGTAATGGCATCAACAATTTGTGGGGTATATATGGCAATTGTATCATTTAAATGTTTACGCATGGCTTTCAAAGCTTTATTACCACGTTCTCCAGCCGAGGCTATATCATCGCTTATTAATTGTTCTAAATTTTCAATTATAGAAGTGACATCAGGCAGCTAAACGAATGAAAGTTGTAAGAAAGGTTAAAATATATAAGATAATTTTTGAAATTTTTTTTGTTTTTTTTTTAAATTAAGATTGTTCGAAATTTTATAAAAATACAAAATTTTTCGAAATTAATCTAAAAAAAGGATTTTTCAAAAATTTACAAAAAAATAAAATTTTTAAAAATGTTTCGAAGAATTTTTTTAATAAAAAAATGGAAATTTTATAAGAGAATTAAAAAAAATTCTAAAAATAACTTTAATAACTTTATGAAAATTTTCTATAAAAATAGAGAATTTTATGAAAATATTCTATAAAAAAAGAATTTTATGAAAATTTTCTATAAAAGGACAGAATTTTATGAAAAATTTCTATAAAAAAACAGAATTTTGCGAAAATTTTCTATAAAAAAGAGAATTTTATGAAAACTTTCTATAAAAAGAGAATTTTATTAAAATTTTCTATAAAAAGGGAGAATTTGAAAAATTTTATATAAAAAGAAAGTTTTGAAAATGTTCTATAAAAAGATAATTTATGAAAATTTTCTAGAAAAATAGAATTGTATGAAAATTTTCTAGAAAATGGAATTTTTTGAAATTTCCTATAAAAATGAATTTTTTTCGAAAATTTTCTATAAAAAGGGAATTTTATGAATTTGTTTTTAATAAGCGAATTTTTTGAACATTTTTTTTAAAAAGGGATTTTTATAAAAACTTTCTTTCAAAAGGGATTTTTTTTGAAAATTTTCTATTAAAAGAGATTTTATGAAAATTTCTAGAAAAATGGAATTTTTTGAAAATTTTTTATAAAAAGGAATTTTATGAAAATTTTCTATAAAAGGAAATTTTATGAAAATTTTCTTTAAAAAAATTTTTATTTTCTAACCCGGGACTTTTTCTATTCTCCTGCATTAATATCTTTATTGCCCTTTTCAAAAAGAACTTTTTTATGAAAATTTAGAAAAAAGTGAAAATTTTTCTATAAAAAAAAAATTTAAAAATAAATATAAAACGATATTTTCGAAAAAAAATTGTTATAAAAAAAGATAAATTTCGAAATTTTTTGCAAATTATTTAAAAAAGGGAATTTTTTGAAAATTTTCTATAAAAAAGGGAATTTTATGAAAATTCTATGAATGTAATGAAAATTTAAAAAAGGAGATATTTAAATAAATGGAACATTTTATAAAAAAAAGGACATTTTATGAAAATTTAGAAAAAATGAAAATTTTATAAAAATTTTCTATAAAAAAGAAATTTAAAAATAAATATAAAAACGATATTTTCGAAAAAATTGTTATAAAAAAATAAATTTCGAAAAATTTTTGCAAAATTACTCGCAAATTTCCTTAAAAAAGAAAATTTTTCGAAAATTTTCTTTAAAAAATACAAAATTTGTTAAAAATTTCGCAAATTTTATTTAAAAAATGGAATTTCTATAAAAATAAATTTTTTCAAAAATCTTTTAAAAAAGAAAATTGTTCGAAAAATGAAAAAAAGAAAATTCTCTTTTTTATTAAAGAGAAATTTCAAAATTTTTCTTAAACAAGAGAATTTTTGAAAATTTTTATAAAAAATATTTCGAAAATTGCCACAAATTTTAAAATAATATAAAACAAAATCCACTTAATAAAAGTTCTTAGAGATGCCTAATGCAAATTTCTTTTGAAAAAACATACCTTAGGAAAATAACGATCTACCATCTTTTGATATTTATAAGCAGCATTAAATATATTATCATACAATTAGTTTAATGTTGCAAAAGCAAATGTTTAATATAAATTAAAACATAACACTTTGACTTAACTCACCTGATCATAATGGATACCATTAGCATCTAATTTTCCAATTTCATATCTATTCAAAACTTCCTTACAAGACTGATCTGAACATTTGTTAAGCATAACTAATAAATCGCGTTTAACACCACGTAAACCTTAAACAATAAAAATATTAATAGTAAAACATTTTTAAGAAGTTTTATAAAGAAATTCCTACCATCACTTAATTGAGAAGCATAGACCCTTAGATCATTTGTTATTAATTTCATTTTCTGTAATTTTCTCTGCAAGTCTGGCAGTTTTTTAAGAAAATCAGTAAGATAACCCACCGAAACAGCCATAGACTTTTGTTCTAACTGAGTAATAATGAAGTCAGAAGTTTCTAAAAAGAAATTTAATAAATTAAAAATTAATATTTAATTAATTTAAACAACAACTACCTCTTAAAATCAGTTCCAATTGATCGGATAACTGTTTGTAATTATTAACTAAAACATATTCCAATTGTTCTGAGGTTACTTCTAAGAATGTTTGAGTATCATTGCTACCGGCACGTACCACAGCAGTGCTGTCATCTATACCATATTGCATATAACTATTAGTGGCAAATGCCACAATAACACCAAACCTTTAAAAGATTTCATAATTTGTTGCATGTTTAGTTTAGGTAAATGTTTATAAAAATGTAAATTGCAAAAAAGCTTAATTAATAGTAAAACTTACAATATTCCTGTGGCTAAAAGTATTAAAAAGAAACCTAGAAAAACACGGCGGCAGGTATCATGTTTTTTATCAAATGGCTCAGAACGACCACCACATGCACCAGCACAACGGCAGCAACAGAAACATAAGCTAAAGAGAAAAGAAAAACAAAAAACAAAATTAATATATATAAAACTATGTAACACACAATTTGTTTAAAATTTACCCTATTATAGGCATAGAAGCCACTAGGACTCCTACTATCAAAACAATCAATAAAATAGGCCAATAATGTAGAATCAAATCACCCCATTCATTGCGCTCTACTTTGGGTCCCAACTGTACTGTAGAATCTTTAAATGTTAAATAGCCTGTAATAGAACAAAAATAAATTAGAACTTTAAATCAAAACTGTTAACTCTACTATAATATTACTCACCATCTGGTATTGGAGTTTCGCCACCAATCAAAAGCCACATTACTTTTTGAGTGATTTCATATAAAGGTTTCATGCCACGTGCATTGTAATCTGTGGTACTTTTATATGTTACATTCTTTGACCAATCCGTATATTTTGTAGGCTTTAAATTTAATTTGGTATTCATGTCAAATGCACAACTTGTTTTGCACAAACTGCAAACTACTACTAGCAGCAGTAATAAACTAAAGCTCATTGTCTTCCATGATGATGACTTGATTTGACTTAATCTTGAATGCTGATGATAAACATCTAAAGTTTTCAATGTCATTTTTGTAAAAATTTTATGTTTTATGTGAAACTATGGTTTTTTTCTTGTCTTTTTTTCAGTTTGCTTTTGTTTTATTATAATTTTTTATTCGTTGAAGGAATGTTTAGTTTTTTTATTTTGTTTCTTATTCGATTTGAGATGAGTGTGAGAGGAGATGCTTGCTGCACACCTAGCGCGAATAATTAAATTTTAATTTTTCCTTCTATTGAAATCATTTGGCAATGTGTGGAGGCTGTTGTCAAAACGATCAATGTAGCCATTAAGAAAAAACTAAAATGAGAAAAATTTAAATAAAATTATTTAGAAATTTAAAGTAAATTCATCCATAAAAACTAAGTTTTAATTTGCGAACAAATTTACCCCTTAAAAATTAACGAAAATTTTGCTAAGTTATTGTAGAGTGAGTTTGTATATATTTTACGTTTACATACTTCAAAGATTTTTATCTTTATTGGTTCCACTTGTGGTTTTTGTTTGAGATATTAGGAACATTTTTCTCCATATTTAATTTTAATTTAATAATGAAAAATAAAAAGTTTAATTCCTAGAAAACAACCATATAAAAAATCTACATTTATTTTTTTTATGATGACTAATTGTGATAAAGAGTTTCGGAATTACCAAACTTAAAAATCTTGTAAATTAAACAACAAAATAATTTTAATTTTTATAAATAACGACATTAGAAAATAATCGAAAATTAAGTTAAAGTTCTATTTTCGAAAAATTAAAGAAAATAATCCAGCAGTTAGGTCGGACAGTACCGAAATACCTATTTAACCTACCGCTTAGGATTACCGTTTGCCACCGACTGACTAGCTATTTTATCATGTGCTTGTCCTACGAGAACGACAATCGTCACATCATGGATTACGAAGAGGCACTAAAGTGACGATTATCTTCACCCTAGTTTATAAAGAGTACATCCGTGACGAAAGATGAATTAGAGCCATTCAGCTGGTTAGACGTTAGCGAAAATCGCGGTCTGGAAAGCACTGGGAAGTAATAACCAAACAAAAAAGTTCGTCATTTTCAAAAACATCCCAGCAAAAACTTGCATTGGAAAGTAATGAGTTAAAAAAACCGCTTTTCACTACTTCTTCATTAGCATTTGAACTCATTATTTTAATACGGTGATGATATTGTAGGCAAGTACTTACCAAATAGAGAGTTAATAAGTACTTACAAATAGAGAGTTAAAAAGTTGCTTTGTTTTAAAAGCACAAAAAGAAACCTTAAACTAAATACGAACCTGGGTTTCTTGTTCGTTAGTTTGCTGTCTTACTCACAACACCACTGCTTACCCAGCAAATACTCGGTAATGACTTGTACTTATATAACCACATACTTTTCATTGTCGAAGTGCTTTACGTGAATACCTGCCTTATTTCACGGTGGTCTTTTTCAACCACTGGGTGAGCTTTTGCAACGACCCACCACCGCCCCATTGTGCTTCTTACACGCCGGTGGCAATTTCCGGTCCAGTATACGTGCATTTTGCTCGAGTGCTCGAGCTATCTAATCTCTAACCATTGTTGCCCCGTTGCTTAACTTTCGAGATGGAAAAACATCACTTCTGTTTACAACCACGCATATGGGATGGTCTCTCTTGAGTCGGCAACAGCAGCTAGAGACGTAACCGGTAGACCGAAATACGAATCCATCAAATAAGCCGATATTTTGTTCTTACTCACAGTGACACACTGTGGTAATTCTGGTATGAACTGAGTTTACTCTGAACATACCTGGGCAAGGAAGAAAAATTCAATGTTATCACTTGTATAAGATAACTTTCAGCCATCACCATCCATCACCCAGCGCACTTCTCATTTATCCTACACACTCATAAAGGAACAACAAGGTATTCTGTATCATATACAATTAACACCAACTCATTTCCAAAGCTTAGTCCCACAGTCACTCCTCTGTGAGGTATCTGTTGTCATTCGGCAACAGCACCGAACTTATCCCGAAATATAGACTTCACCGTGCATCAGTCTTTTAACTGCAACTCATTCTTCCCGCGAATTTGGGTTTAAACCACAGCCACTACGTGGATCCCGAAGGAACCTCAACCAACTGACCAGCCAGGACAAATCCTGCGGTCAACTGGCCACCCGTAGTGTCAAATTATGTGGCTCTCTGTTTAGACCCCATGTCAAATCATACCAAGGACTAGACGAGGACCGAAGTGACATCACCAGTTTATAGTTCCGGCAGACTAGAGGTACTTTTAGCACCTCTTTACCCCGGGAGTGCAATACACCAAGATGAGGGCCCTTTATCGAGGAATGTCTGCTAAATATCGTCTGTAATCAGATAAGTAAATAGCTTTTAACTCACTTACTATTCAATGTAAGTTTTTGCTGGGTAGTTATTTTATTGTACGTCAAATAATGGTTTTAACACAGAAAAACAATTTTCTTTCTGTGTATTGCTAGTTGCTAGAGAGCTATCCAATAACATATGCAAATAAAACGGCAAAACTCAAAATAAAGTACTTAAGTATCTGATTATATGTAAGTCATAAAAAAAGTACTTACAAGTAATACAGACTGTATATAGTAGTCATTGAAAAGTAAGTGGTTATATAAGTACAAATCGTTAACGAGCTTTTGCTGAGATATTATTTCTTACTTATTATGAATGAAAATAGTTTGAGAAAAATTCATATTTGTTGCATACTATTTATTCTTTAAAATTATTAATAAATTTTTTTCAGTGTAATTATAAAAATGTTTCGAATAGAACTTTGTGGTTATCAGAATTGAAAAGCCAAACTTAATTTTTATTTTGAATGACCAACAACTGTTGCTAAACATATTATCAATATTAAATCGTAAAAGAAAGTTGAATGAAGAAGGGGTCTGCAGTTAAAACGGGAATATAGGGAATTGCGAAATATGTTACTAAGGTTTTTGGTGCTTATTCGTCACATTACCAAAAATGCACAAAACTTTTTATAAAAAAAAGATAAAATATTATTATTTTTATTTATTACCAATAACCATATCTTTTAAATATCAAAATAATTTTATTACCAATAACTGAAATACAAAATTATTATTTATAAAGTACAGTTCAAGTGATTTGTTCAACAAAATAATATTTTCACTTTTTCTGGTTTTTATTTATAGAAAAAAATGTTTCTGTTTTTGTACATGAAAAAATGTTGAAACTGCTTTGTCATTTTTATCATTTTTATACTATTTGTTTACACATGTACTAGCTTACAACACGATAAACCAAACAACCAACCACCTACTGACGAACCAACAAACAAACAAACGAATAAACTATCCAACAAACTTGTGGTATTAAAATAGTTGCTACTAGTGATGAAAGTAACACCCGTTGGTGATAAATTGTATGTGGACATGAATTCGATTAGTTCAAAAAATAACATATTTATAGACTTAACTTTATTGGATGGTTGAAAAGAATTAAAAAGTTCATATAAAAGTTGTATGTATGTATGTATGTATGTATGTATGTATGTATGTATGCTCTCTTTGTAACTCTCGTGTAATGAACATACATAAAATGGCACGTTTATAATAAAAACGTGTTTCAATTGACCTATAAATACCGAAAATAGAAAAGTATTACTTTATAACTAAGATCGTTAATAAAGCGTTTAATTAAGAAATTTTAAACGAAAGTTCTTAAAGTCGGTTTAAAAAAAAAAGAAAATCTAAATTACAATAACCAATTAGAAACCAAATTGCAATTATTTGAAATTTTTTATTTTCAGTTAATTTATTTAAATTAAGTACTAATTATTTTTAATTTATGTAAAAATATATTCATTAACATCTTAAAATATGAAAAATTTTATTATTCATTGTAATTTTAAAAGCAAGAATTACTTTTAGTCGTTACTAAAATGCACTTTGTCAGCATAAAAACTCATCAAATTAATTTTCAAGTTTAAAATATATAAATAAAGGCCTTGTAAAAACTATAATTCGTCATCTACAATATAAAAATATTTATTTAACATAAAATAAGCTCAATGTAAAATTTAAAATAATTTTATAAAAAAAAGATTTAAAAACATTGAACCCTATTTTTTGTTTACTTTTATGGATTTTACCTAGTTACGGTACATTCTTTTTGCTACTGTTCATACATACTTCACTTTTATAAGATGTTTTCACTTTGCTTTTATTCACTGTTTTATTTGCTGTTCTATATTCTAGATGTTCTTAACCTAAGGTGGCCTCAATTTCATAGTAGGTATGTCACTTGACGATTTGGTGTTATTAGTTTTCTGTGCACAGCTTTAATGTTTTAGTATGGCGCAAGAATTGATATTTGCATAGGTTTAGAAGCAAAGTTAGCAAACTACACTAACGGTTTTTTGAGTAGAAACCTTGTATCATATAATAACAGCCAGATTTAGGAACAGTGCCAGAAATATAACTATCGCAATTTGGCTGATCTGTCTGTCAAGGAGAACTTTTACAACTAATCATAGTGATGGGCCACTTCAACGCTCAACTACACAGAGGGAATAGGAAATATACACGCCTGGTATCAAATTGACACCAAAAAGTTTATAATTTTTCAATAACATCCGTTGTCAAAGTATATACATACGTACGACAACACTATTGACAAACAATCCGTTGCCAATAGTGAGCTTACCACGTTTGTTAACATTTAGACAGCGGATGTGTATAAAATTTAGATTTCGACAACGAATTGTTGCAATGTTGTTGTTGTTGTCAACGGATGGTATTGAAAAATTATAAACAGTTTGGTGTCAATATGGTACCAGGCGTGTATATTTCTTTTTCCCTCTGTGTAGGAAGTGATAACTTGGAGAAGGTGGGAGCCTTGAACAATGTCAGACACCACTTTTTAAGGAGAGCCGAGGAACATATCCGTTACAAGGAGGCAAATAGAAAGCTTTGGATAACTGAAAACAATTGACCAAAGGAGAAGAAAGAAGAGCATTTTAAAGGTGGCAAAGATATGCGGCGAAAAAATGTGAATACGCAAAGAGTATAATGCACTTGATAAACTAGTTAAGAAAATTACCCCAGAGGATAAGAGAAGATTGTACAGTAGCCTGGGGATGGAAGCCGAACCATATGCTATAAATAACCGGCAGCAACTGTGCCAGCAGCAAACCATTAGATTAGAGGGCCCTAAACCCTGCGACCCTGTTTTGGATCTCTTGTGCGGCCCGTGAGTTCACAATAACAGGTTTAATTCATGTATGAAAATAACGGGTTAGGGGCCTAAGATTCTTTCCCGACGAG